TATTAGCTAAAAAAAAGGGTTAAGTTTTCTTTGCGTACTATTACGCTAAGCTATATAAATATTCCAAGATGTCTAAAAAACAAATGAGTTTCTAATTACTACACGCGAGATGATTTTTTTATCTGTAATTTATTCCATCGATCAGTATAGATCTCGCGACGAATGTCATTAACCCACTTGCGGTGGAAGTGGAGCATCATTTTACCCGAATTGCCCGTTTTCCTTACTTAGTGAGTTGCTGAGTGGCGCTCGATTCTAAGTTTTTTTTGTTGACGGTGTGGGACATCCCTTCGGATCTCCTGCTCTTAGGGGCTCAGGAGCCAGGGGTATGTGGTGATTCCACTAAAAACCACTCAGACGGCCGGCCTCAGATGTCCTACTCTGAGAGGATCCGGTGCATGTTATTTCAGGTATTTCCCAAATTGACACCATGCCTAATCAGGCCCTATCCCAGGGGACAACACTTCCCCCAATCTGCCACCTGAGGTCCCCACTCTCTGGCGGCCCGCGGCCGACAGAAAATATAATCTAGTGACATCTTTTTCTCCCAGTAAATAGGGTCAAGAGTATAGGGCCCGTGTAACTTCCATAGACCATAGTAAGCGCATCACATCCTATTTATTATGATGAATTGTATATATGTTACCGTCTTTTGAATAGACGTACAGATTTGTACAATTTAGAGATAGGGTTAAGGTTTTTTGTACTCAGTAAGAATTTAGAATTCAGTATCATTTTCGTATTCACACATATTATCCGACTGCGGCTGCGAAGAAGGGTTATGTTTTTCGAATGTATTTTATCCCAATTTTATTTGGGGTCGACGTAGTATGATTCTTCCATTCTACTCCATTATTCGTCATCTCACAGTTTACTCCCTTCCTAGCCGTATCCTCACTCACACAGTCCATCCACCTTTTCTTTGGCCTTCCTCTTCTTTTGTACCCTTCAACTCCTAAACCCAATACTTTCTTGGCCACATTTTCCTTGTCCCCCGCATGATATGCCCATACCAAGATAACCTATTACTTCTTAACTTTTCATCCAGTGGCGTCACTTTCAGACTCTCTGGTATAAATTTATTCCTGACCTTGTCCATCCGAGTCACACCACACATCCATCACAGCATTCTCATATGCATGTATATTTCTTTGGCAAGCTCTGAAAATTGTAAAAATGAATTATATAAATTAAAATCCCTTTTGTAATTTTTTCAATTATTAATTTCTTATGTGTCGTAGCGACCTAGAAAACTATAGATGATACAAATATCAATGTTGCCCAATAGCCTGAACACACGGTCTATCTGTTCAGAGACTTCAAAGTCCAGTGATACATTTCCTAAGAAACATTGTTCTAATACAAATATTTGTAATTTTAGTGGCGTGCAATAGTTTCTGCAACGTTTCAGCTCGTTTAAACGAATGTCAGTCGTTAAACAGGTAACTGTTTGTGACGCATCCGAGTCATAATAATTTATGTCCGTATAAATTGTTTTTGACCAGGTACCATGATTACCTTACCTTACATTACACCTTACATTACATAGAATAGTCAGAAAAAGAATAATTGAAATAAGTAATATGTGCAAACCCTTTCACCGTCACTTCGATAGAGGAGCTGCTTTTCGCAGAGGTCCGACCGTTTTTATTATTCATCCAACGTCGCCTACGTTTGATGATGATGCCGAGAATTTTCTATGATGAATATTGGTTTTAACTAAATACCTTAGACTCCTTAGAATTATGGTTTAATGCTCTAAGCTATACTCTCTAAGCTAGCTACGTATAATACATATGATAGATAACACACACGCAGACACAGAAGAAATGGTCGGGATTATCATACAATTTTTGGTCCTGGGTTGGAATCGAATCCACTACCATTGGCCTAGCAGTCAGGATCATTAACCATTTAACTAACAGGCTCCTCAAGATATTAATAATATTTTCAAACATTTCACACACGGCCGTCTGATCCCAAACTAGGCAAAGCCTTTACTATGGTAATCAGACTGCTGATAAACATAGTTATATACGTTTTATATACATCATACATACATATATATATAAACAAAACCTCCTTTTTTGAAATTCGCTAAAATACTTTTTCCGTCTCTTAAATGCAGATAAATTTTACTCGTAAAAGACAGTACGTTTCCGCAGTGGATAGATACCAGCAGCTGTTAAGAATTGTGTGTGGGTTTCATTAACGTAATCTCTTTGCGGATACAAGAGACAACTAGAATGGTTTATCTCACATTAAGATATATATTTATTTCGGATAGACTTACGTTTGATCATTGTATCGCTTGAGATAAGTGATGATAAGATTTATGGTGAGACTCTTGTCTGAAAGAAAGTTAGAAGATTAAGTTGTCACGTACTCCTCATTTAGCTCTCCTCATCTCCAGCTCCGCTTTCAGTCCTGTTGCTCAACCGGAGTTATATCTATGACTGCACGGATGGCGCAGTGGTTTAAGCGGTCGCCACGCAGCTTCCTACTACGCTGAGTGTTGTGGGTTCAATCCCCACATGGGACGACACTTTGTGTGATCCACAAATTGTCGTTCTGCATCTGGGTGATATTTGTGTTCGTTTCATGTATGTTTGTAAAGTCCCCCGCGGCACAGGATATATTCCTAGTAAAAATAAAAATCATGGCTTCACAAAAAGCCAGCATTAAGCAATTTGCTGAACATTTAGAAAATAAGCTGCTGTGTTATCAACAGTCTGGTTACCATAGTTCAGGCTCTGCCTAGTTCGGGGTCAGACAGCCGTTATTAAACAACATTATTTATTTCTTACTAGCTAGTAACCGCAGGCTAAAGCTTTAGCTCGCGGTTCCTCCCGCCCGTGTATGCCGGTTATCGCGGTAAAAAAAAACCATTGGTTAAAGAATTTTTAAAATCGGTTAAGCGGTTTAGGCGTTAGGTCGTAACAAACAAACTAACTTTTACATTTAAAATATAAGTATGGATACTCACCATCGGGTTACCCGTTCGGTCTCGTTTGCTCCCTGTTATATAAATAGAATAGTTAGTTGGAATCAAGAAACAGAGTACTGCCATTGCCTCTCCTTGCAAATTATTTCATTTCTGCCGAGTTCTGGTCTCGGTGGGCACATTCCGTCAGAAGTAAGAATTATTTAATCGACTTACCAAATTGGTATGGGTAATTTCTCATAACGTCCATCACAAATTACCCACTTGTCTAGTTTTTATTTATAGTTTAGTTTCTTTTTATGTTAGTATAGTTTCGTTTTATGAAATAGTATAAATTTAAAATCAGCTAACATTGTCTAATAAACTTTTTCTTTGTCAAAAAAATAACCCTGGCAAGTTTAGCAACTTAATTTTTGCGAAAAAGATATTTGTTCTTATTTAACATGTAAAAGAATAAATGAGTGTAATTTGCCCATCTGTTCTTGATCCATTCCATTACAAAAAACACTGTTTCATTTTCATTTACATGGAAGCAACTTTGCTAGGATTATGTAGATTTTTTGTTTGTTTTGGTATTCTTTGACAATAATACATTTTCCGAAAATATCCCAAAGGTTTATTTAAAATTGTACGCAGTATTAGGATGATCGGGTAACAAATATCAAACTTACATTGGCATAAATTACTGGTTATGATTATAAGTAACTCCGGGCATAATCGAGCGTAATCGGTGCACGTGCACGGCCTCTCATAAATACAAGTTTCAATTGCTTTTCGAACTAAAAACAACAACGAAAATTGATTACACGCGTTCTTCGTTACATACACTCACGCCTATGTCCCGAAGCGAGGTAGACAGAAGCGTAATAAACACGCACATTTTACCGGCTATAATTTTAGGCCTATTAACGTAATCAGGGCAATCCTATTACCGTTTACCTGGCACTTTAAGAATTAGATAATTGACCAAAAATAGTTTTTTACGTGTGGAAACCGTGTTATAGAGGATTGGTTCGATAGGAAACACGGACCCTCTGATATTGACGCAAAGAACGCTTTGGAGGTCACCTGTGTTCAGACAACGCTGTGGTGACCTCCAAAGCATCCGCAAAGAGCGTGGCCAGAGAATGTCCAGCATGTATGGAGCAGAGCCATGACCTCGTGACTGATTGCGACGTTGGTACGGAGCGACTGTAGGGCGAAGTGGGACCGGGAGGGACTTAGAACCCTCTTCCAAGTCGCGGCGGCGGCTGCTCACCGGCGCGAGTAGTCGCTTGGCGCAGCCGCAGTAGTCGACCGTCACTGCACCGGGGTTTGCGACGGGACGGTGTGTTAAAATCGAACCCACTAAAACCACACGGTGTACCACTCTGTGTCTTAAATAGAAGGGATCCGGCAACAGCTATTATTACGACATCTAAATCCCTCCTAGCGCCTGCCCGACAAAGCGCAGGCACCATCTTCGATAAAACTTTCTAATTATCCTTAGGCATAACAATGGGAACACCGTGGTTTCCACACATGAGGGGTTCATCTACGAGCGTAGATGGCCCAGGGTCCGCCGGGGTATTAGGGATTTACTTCGTATCGTACACCTGATGTGAACCACCGGTGGGCGATATCCGAGGGGATTTCCGCACGGAAGAAAAGTTTAAGGACAGGAAGGAAAGACTTTAAAATTGTGGAGCCTACCACAATTTTAAAGTGAAGTAAACATTGACGGGCGTATTGGTTAATGACCCTGGCTGCTTATTCGGAGGTTCTGGGTTCGAATCCCACCCAGGACAGATATGTTTATCAGCATTCTGATTATCATATAGGCACCGCCTAGTTTGGGATCAAACTGTGTGTATGATGTGACAAGTTATTATTATTAGCCTGACGCTTGCCATATTATTTACGTCACAGGACTAGTTTTGTCATGAAATATATTTCGGTTTGTTTTATTACCAGTAATTAGGTCATGCTTATTAACTCTGCAAGGGCAAAACTGTGCATATGGACTATTTGTGTGCCAGCATCCTGATGTTGGCTCGTTACGATTAAAAGATTTGATATGCATCGTTTTCTGGCAGATTCTCTAGGGTAATTGTTTTGTTTTAATGTGTTTTTCGTTTATGTTGTTTTGTTTATTATGTTTGTAATATGTTAGTAACTATTTTAATTATGTTGTGTATGGCAAGGACTCGTTACAGCCAAAGGTGTGACAGCGCTAAATAAGTGATCGATTCTGTATCGCGTTATGAAAGTTTTCGCAACTATTGGGCCTCGGTCCACTAGGCACGTTCGCCAGCCTGGTTATATAGTCCTCTCTTTCTGTCTAACACACGTGGCTTAGGCTTCGAACACGGAACTTTGTGAATTACCAGCAATTGATCTTCATTATACTGACATTCTCTGTACTTCAACACAGTACTTGTCACGACGCTCATATGCGTGTTTATGTTGATAATTTGAAATGATAATTGCGCCTGTATTAGATTAGAAACTTTTGTCACTGGTAATACAATTAATTATTAAAATTTACAACTTTACTTGTGTGTATGTTTCAGTTTCTGTGGTTTATATTCAATGTGACTTACCGCCATCATAAATGATTAGTTGGAAAATACTTGTTCCGATTTTATGTATTCGGCCTTCATTCTAAAATCTCAACTCTCATTTAATTTTTCACTAACTTAAAAAGGCCCTGATATGTCGGATTGTCAGTTCTGCATCGCTTGTTTTCGCTTCCACCTTGAGTGTGTTGTTCAAATCCAATTCACCATGTCGTATAAAATCAGTCTTGTGAGCATTCAATCATGATTATAGGATTGTCTCACTTAGCATTTCAATAAGATCACGTCGCGTCGAGGGTACGTCGCTCCGATGCATTGTAGTGTAAAGAGAAGAGAATACTTTCCTTTACAAATGTTATAGAGACGACTACATTCTGTTAAAAAAAGAATTAAATTATATCTGTATTATATCTGTGCTTTTGGTTATGTTGCCGCCAAAAAGTCTGTCAAAAGTGTCAAGACTTGTAACGACCTAGAATAAAGATGGCGTCCTTTTTTACATTATGTATTTAATTTATTTTTTTCACTAATACTTATAAAAACATGTCAGTTTATTGGCGTTTGTATTCACACCTTCGCTTGTACTCGAACTAGATCCATGATATGTCAAGAACTTGTCTTCACACGTCCAGATTTGGTAACGATCTATACCTAATGTGGAACTTGAAGGCTGTTCGCAGTCCTTACAAATGCTACGAATAATACCAAGTGATGACCTAAATTACCGTCAATTAGAATACAGAGAAACATCGTTAAATAATAAAATATCGTGTTATTTAAAAAAATATAAACTGCATATACAGTTAAAACCACAGATAATAAATATTCTAGCATTTTTAGCAGAATTTAATTTATCATTCATTTTTCTTTTATCATATGTGATGTGTGTGTGCATATATGTTTGCACATGAGGGAGGACCCTCATGTGCAAACATGATCATTCCGACATCTCGGAACTCGGAACGGGGTTTCGTTAGGTACATCAGAATCTCAGTGTACCAACGATATCATTATCATTCCGAAATGTTGGCAGGAGACGGACAATACCATTTTCAAATTTCGGAATGCCACATGCGGAATCACTATGATTCCGGAATTTCTGTACGAAACAGGCTCTTCGACAGGCATCGTCTACGTATGAGCATCATTCTTATCTTGATACGAGACGTGCATTGATCCTTACGGAACCAGTACCGTAATTCCGAAACCACAGTCAACAGGCATACGGGACTGACACAGCGTGATTCTGAAATAACGATACTTGACAAATTCTGTCACTCCGCATTTAGGTAGGTACGCAATAGACATTCTGCAATCCACTTTTTTCGATATCAATCTCGAAAACAGGCATCATCATTCTGGCATCTTGTTTGCTGCTGCATTTGGTTTAGAAATAAATATGAATGCATGTTGATCATCATTGCATAGATAGGTGTATAATAATAATAATAATAATAATTACGAAAATCAACATTGAATGAACACTAGATAAACAATTCTCGTCTATAAATTTTATTACGATAGATGATACGTTAATGGTGTGCTGTGTAAGCTTTTGTAAGTGCCAAAACACGTAATTTCTTTAAATCCTTTTTTTATACAAAAAAAAAACGGTATTTAAAGCTATAATTGAAGTCCCTAACGGATTTTACTTCAGCAACTCTCATTATCTTCGTTTTATCTTACACTACAACCTTCTATTTTTTGTTTTCCGTTTATTTATTTGCTCTGTTTTTTTTTTAAATAAACCTTTTTTCAATAACTTCGCCACGAATCGATTTTTCCAAAGTTTTTTTTTAAATTAATACTTTTACCAGTCAGTTTAATTTATTTTTAAACTTTAATACTAACGATTTTGATTCCTAATCCTGCAGTTTTATGAATTTTGTTTTAAATGGTTGCACATCCTCTAATCATCCAACGGGTTGAGACGTTCAGTTTCTTAAAACCCATCTATCCTTTGAAATGTTTCCACTTTTGCGGTATCCCACTAATAATGTGTATTAGTGGGATACCGCAAAAGTGGAAACATTCCCCCCCGGAAGAATATCAAAAAGATAACCTTATTTTTTATTATCACTCGAATGCAAAAAAAGCCGTACTTGCGCCAATACCACTTATAACTTACAAGATATCCCATTTGCAAAAGCATGAACACGCTAAAAATAACCTGCCCGCCCTTGACAAAGGATCGCTTATTATAATATCTAATAAGACAATCCTCTCGGTCGTGACAACATACAATACGTGGGCTGCTAACAAGCTCACTCGTAAAATACTCATCCGTGTTAGAAAGTGGTGATTTGTTACGTGAAAATGTAAAATACATTGCTGTGTTTTGTTTATGTAAAGGACCGTGGTTTAACTTTATCCCTGGAATGAAATATCGCTTTTGCGAAATTACCATAGTTTATGGAGGTACAGATCGTGAATAATAAAAGGATAGATATTGTCGCAATAGCAAAGCCTTGATACACTTACTCCATAAACGCATAATATATTATACAAATACTAGCTGACCCGGCAAACCTTGTTTTGCCATAAACATTATTTCAATGTTTTTTGTCAAAAAAATTCGAAAAACGATTCTCAGGCCTACCTGATATGCACACAAAGTTTCAAGAAAATCGGTTGAGCCGTTTCGGAGGAGTTCAACTTCTAACACCGTGACTCGAGAATTTTATATATAAGATTGATTGGTTCTCTTTATTGCTTCGTTGATCTGATTATGAGTGGGATAGGCATGGGATCACACCAATTGATGTATAGAATATGTATTTAAAAGAAGTGTACTGTAGATAACAAAAAAGACAAAAAATAATGCCAAGAAATTCGATCGGTTCGGTTCCGCAGCAATATTTTCTCCACGTCTCACCTACGAGTATTTCGCAGTCAGTAACAGTTAGTGATATATAACCTTTATTATAGAACATGAAAAAATGTTGACAACCGGCGAAGGTACTGAAGAAAAGTCACAACTACTTAGCAAATCCCGAACGTCGATTTTCAGATCCGTTAGAAAGAAGTAATGTTGTGGAAAATTGTTTTGTTCGTTGGAGAGCCATGCTTCGTCACAAATGGGCCGGCTCGACCGGAGTGATACCACGGCCTCACAGAATACCGATGTTAGGCAGTTCTTGCCTTACTTTCGGGTGGGAGGACCTAAAAGGCGGCAACATACTGGTGACTCTTGAGTTGCAGGTGGGTCAGTTACTTATCAGCTGATCCGTCTCTTCGTTTACCCTCTTATTCTATAAAAAAAGAAAACACTAGAAAAATACATGTAATTTATTATCAGGTTAATCGACTACTTACCTTTTCTTTGCATTGTTTTGTTATAATAATGTTTCTAATTCTTGTGTGGATAGCGGAGTCAAATCAAACTGTCTTTTGATTTGACTTCTTTTTGAGTGATTATGTTTACTCGGCCTCGGTCGGTGATAATGTCTGTAAAGACCCCTCGACTTAGGACATTCCTAGTGCGGGAGCTGTCTTTAAAAAAAGAAAGAAAGAAAAGTAAGAAATCTATATTATAATATTATAAAGCTGAAGAGTTTGTTTGTTTGGTTGAACGCGCTAATCTCAGATACTTCTAATTCAAATTGAAAAATTCTTTTAGTGTTGGATAGCTCATTTATCGAGGACGGCTATAGGCTATGCAATATTACATCCTACTACGACCAATTGGTCTGAGGTGGGGAGTGGGTAGTGGGGAGACGAGGGTCAAAGAAAAATGTTGCAAAAAACGGGCAAATGTATTCACAAACCGAACTCGTGTCCAGTAGTGGAGCTACTCTTCCGATTGCATGGCAACATACCTAAATAAAGAAAATATTGTTCATAGCAGCTAACATAACATACATTTCACTTTTTAAAAATTAAAAAAAAATTGCTTTCTCGTTACGTCTCAAAACCCCATTAATTAATAGAAACATACATGACTTCAGAAAGTGTTAATTACAAGAGAGCAAATTAGATTGTATTATAAGTAATAAAAACAAAACAATAAAATTATATAATTATCTTTAGTTAGCGTTGTTGTATAATTCATTACATAATAAACAAGCTAATTATTAAAAAAAAACCGACTGCGTGAAAAAGTACAGGTGTTTAAAATTTATAAACGCGATTTTAATTTTTGTAGAATTTTTATATACCCGCACTCACATTTAAGAAGAATCTAACGACACCTTTCAAGTCAAAATCCGTCAAGCCATTGAGACTACAGAGTGTCCCAAAGAAACACACACATAAAATCACAAAACTCCGTTTAGCGCAGTCGGGTAAAAATAAAAAAATCTGACTCTAAAGTACATCGTATCTTTCGTATCGTTGTCGAATCTGTGATTTGATTAGTTAGTCATTTATCTTACCAGTGGCGCTGTCGGTCGTAGAACGATCTCCGTCCTCCATAAACGCAGGCCTGGGGCCAGGTGAGGCCATCTATCACCCCAGCAGAAATAGGCCGGGGTGGGGGTAAGACATGCTGCAGATCGCGTACGCCTTTTCAGGAGCACACGGGAACATGGGGGTTCCCACACAGGACGGATTTCATGTTTAGGGTACACCTGGTTCCACCGACGGGGTGGGTCTGATAAAGGAGGATATCCGCACAGAAAAAAAGGGGGCGCTGTCGGTAAATATCTATGAAGTTATAGATGAATCGTGATTGTTAAATTATAAAAAACATACTTTATAAACAAATTTAAGGTTTGACTATTTTTGCCAGCAATAGGTTCAAACATAGTTGCCAGCAATAGTTTCAATACCCACCTAATGATTTTCTTTCTTCTTTACAGAAAGACCTGCAAGTCATGTGGGTGCGACCGTCTGAAGCACTCGGTGTACCATGAGGAGCTGGGCTCAGTGCGGGATCGTCTCGGGTTACGGGAGTCCAGGGTTAACCACCATTCATACGACAGCCCACCAGGACTTACTGCTAAGCAGGTCAGTTTTTCATTACCGAAGAACAGTATTGTAAATAAAATACTTCACATAATAACCGTTTTTTTTCATACATAAAATAGCTTTCTCGCCCTAACCATAATGCCATCTAGTATCCAATAGCATCACTCTGAATGTGATCATAATTTACTCAAATATTTTTGAATAGGGAATAAAAAGTTCTGCGTATCCTGAGTTTATTACTTATCAGTAGGGGTTTTGTACCTATACTTATTTGTGACACCACCGCAAATATAAGAATCTTATAAACGCAACATATAACACTTAAACCTAATGCAACACCAATAGCGTCAGAATGTTCGAATACGATGTATTTCCATTGTATTTATTACTATTTTATTTTATTAAAATAATCGCCAGAATCGCGTTAGGTACTAATTTTGGTGTCAGTGGCTAACCTTATACTTAAAAAGTTGCACTATTACACAAATCTACCATGATATAATAATAATAATTTTTACACATCTCGCACACGACGGTCTGATCCCAAACTAGGCAGAGCCTGTGCTATGGTAACGAGACCGCTGATAAACATACTTATATGTTTCTAAATACATACATATTATAGATAGAGTACACTCAGAACACATGACCATGCTCATCACACAATTATTTGTTTTGGGTGGGAATCGAACCCACGACCTCTAGCGTAGCAATCAGGGTCACTAACCACTAGGCCAACAGGCTAGTCTATATAAAACAGTTTAGACGAATTTTGAGGTCGAGAGTTCGCTATACATACTGTATATTTTATTTAAATAAGTATGATATTGTTCAATAATAATGCTTTATTTAATATTTGCTTTCAGACCGAACTTTATTGGTCATCGTTAGCAGAACGCGCACCAACAGATGGTGGCGCCACCGGCGCTGCAGCGTGGAGGGCCTGGCGAACTAAAGCTTTAGCTTCGCAATTACCGAAGCAAGATTTATCGCTAGCACACTGTAGACATATAGACGAGGGACATCGCAAGCAATATGAAGACTTTGTTGCCGCTAGGAACGAAATTGCACTCGATATTGGTAATGTCATATTTGTCTCATACCTGATGGGCATTTAATGCCGTCTTGTACATATTTTATTGTATTGCTTTATTGCAGGCGTTGCAAGTCAATATCACGGTGCATCAATGGACTGTATGGGATGTAATAAACCAATTCGAAGTGGAAGCATTACAGTGCAAGCTCCACGGATAGGGGAAGATGTAAGTAGCGCCATCTACAATTCGTTATAGAAAGTTAAAAGTACTGAGTTAGTACCGCTATTGGCCGCTAGATGGCAATCCCTGCCGTGAAGTTTACTGTTTAACTGAAATTCTTTTTGTGGCCTACAGGCATATTTCCACCCAACATGCTTCTCATGTGCGGAATGTGATGAATTGCTGGTAGAATTGGCGTACTGCGCGTTAGATGGAAGGTTGTACTGTGTCCGGCATTATGCGGAAAGATTGAAGCCTAGATGTCATGCCTGTGATGAGGTAAGTGAATTTAATTAATTTTAATAGCAAGGGTTCTTCGTCTTAATATTTTTAACTCACATCAATTTTACTGAGATCGCACTTTCAGTATTTTTTTTTATTTAGACACCTGTAACCTACCCCGTAGGTTGTACTGGAAGTAAGTTAAACTAAAATGGTAGTTAAAAGAAGTTTGTATTAACAAATATTTTGACTTTATTTAAGGGGATGAAAATATTATAAACGATTTTTTTTTTCATTTTAAAAAGACAACTCCCGCATTAGGAATAAATCCTGTGTCGCGGGGGACTTTACAAACATACATGAAAAGGAAGCGGCGTGGCGACCGCTTAAACCACTACGCCATCCGTGCAGTCATTATGCACGCAATTAATCAATCATGTATTACACTTCTAAATAAACATAACTTATCCTATTTTTGACAAGAATTATTAATTAAAGTAGAAGCGCCAGTAATTTAAATTAACATCCTATACGTTAAATACCAAAACTGTACTCATAACGCACATTTAAATTCTTTTTTCAAATATTAGTTTTCTATCAACTGTCAAAATTGACAGCCAATTTGTAATGTTACCAAAATAAAAAAACAAATTAATTGAACAGATTGTTTAAAATCAATTTGGTGTAGTTCCAAAAACATCATAAGTATTGACAGCGGTTAATATGTTGCCGAACAGAGATTGCTTATCTGTTCGATTTTTTGAGATTTAGTTTCTTATCGTAAAACTTCTGGCTTAACAATTTTGTTTACGGTTATTTTATTTATAGAATTTAATGTAATTTTAATCCAAATAAATGATACGACATTTTCGGTGAGATGAATAGGGGTGGTGACAGTCTGTATTCTTAATCCACACCGACCATTTTTCTATGATTGGGTACAATTATCTATAATATGTTTTTATTTAGAAATATATAAGTATGTTTCTTAGTAGTCTGGTTACCATAGTCCAGGCTCTGCCTAGTTTGGTATCAGACGACCGTGTATTTTATTTATTTATTTATTTAAGGATCTTCAACAAGAATATCACATAGCATTCACAGAGAATAATAAATTATTGATCTGGTGTATTCTTAATTACAGAAGATCACAGCCTGCATTAAGAGTCAAACATAACATTTTGAATCAGAAATTACTATTACACAAATTAGAAGTAAATAAATTATGAAAATTGATTAAATTAAATTACTGTTAAATTCATTAAGTCAATACAAACAATAATAACACTGCAAAAGTTAACTACTGATAATATGGTTAATAATTAAATAGTCAACAATATAAGATTATATCATGTGATTGATGTGATTATATTATGTATTAGACGTGTCTAGTCATTATATCATCATAATATATATATTATGTCTAAATAATTATCCAGTTACACTCCTTGTGTCTACATCTTCCAAAATCCTTTCCCTTTCGTTTGAACTTTGTTTCAATATTTGTTTATGATCGACGAAATGGTTATTGCGCACACAAATCACATTAGTTGTGGACCAGTATTCCAAATAAACAATAAAATCCATCACGCTGTTTATTCCTGTCCGTCGGTGAAATATCTTACGTCTGACATTTGCCAGCGACCGTTATATATCGCACACACTATATCTCATTAGGCGCCTATCTACTAATAGAGCATACTGATCTGATAACTTGCATTATACGATGTGACTTCTAAATATACTTATTAATTAAAGCAGTAGCGCCAGTAATGTAGTTAACATCCTACACGTTAAAAAGCAAAACTATACTCATAATGCACATTTAAATTCTTTATTCAAACATTAGTTTTCTACCAACTGTCAAATTTGACAGCCAATTTGTAATGTTACCAAAATAAAAAAGAAATTAACTGAACAGATTGTTCAAAATAAATTTAAATCAATTTCATTTAGTGAGGAAATAATAAAAACAAAAATAAGTTTTAATGTTGTGTTATTAAATAATTTATCTTTACGATACGTTAAGTTAGCTTAGGCAACAGGAGCATATCTCACTACGTTTAGGACTAGACTGAAGTCTCTAGATTTTTTTTTTAAGCACTTCAATGATATTGACTGACTGCACGGATGGCGTAGTGGTTTAAGCTGTCGCCACGCCGCTTCTTACTACGCTAAGTGTTCGATCCCCACATGGGACGACACTTTGTATGATCCACGAATTGTCGTTCTGAGTTTAGGTGTTCTTTGTGTCCGTTTCATGTATATTTGTCCCCCGCGACACAGGATATATTCCTAGTGCAGGAATTGTCTTTTTAAAAGAAAAGATTTTTTTTACAATTCCCTGTTAAAACTAACCCAAACAATGTAAAGGAAAGCAATAGAACCGTTTATACAGCTCAAAGAAGTAAAATAGACTTACATTTAAGTTCCTTGAGAAGGTATCAAAAGCTGTGAGATCTGTCAGGCTGACGTCTGGTCCTTTGAGCCTTGCCGCGTTTGACGTCAAAGAGGCCAAGATCATATTTATTCTTATAGCAGCTTTTACGGCGAGTCACGGTGAAGACTTGTGTAAATCATCAACAGCCTATACTAGTCCACTGCTGGACATAGGCCTCTCCTTAGAAAGGAGGTTTTGGCCTACTATACCACGCTGGCCAGACGGGTTGGTATAGGGTTTTTTTCAAGTTTTCCTTCTCTTTGCAGTGCTGTTGTCCTGCTTAGTTTGCTCCCTTAGTCGGCTCTTACGACACCCACGGGATGAATGGGGGTAGTGACAATTTGTATTCTTAATCCGTCACCACACGGACGTCCGTCACCACACGGACGTAAATAGAGTAGTTAAATAAATTTACACCACCACCAAATAAATTTGCACCATTAAATTGTCAATGCAGTTGTCATGTTGTTTATTACTGTTTCTTAGGAATACTGTATTACCACTGTTTGTAACTGTTTCTTAGGAATACTGTATTACTACCCGTCATGACATACGGAGCCGAAACGTGGACACTTACGGTACGGCTGGTCCACAAGTTCAAAGTTGCTCAACGTGCTATGGAAAGGGCTATGCTCGGCGTTTCTCTAAGGGATCGCATCAGGAATGAGGTGATCCGGCAGAGAACCAAGGTCACCGACATGGCCTACCGGATCCGCATTCTGAAGTGGCAGTAGGCTGGCCATGTTAACCGCAGAACCGACAACCGTTGGGGAAAACGAGTTCTTGAGTGGAGACCGCGTCTCGGCAAACGTAGTGTAGGACACCCACAGGCCAGGTGGTGTGACGATTTGCGCAAGATGGCTGGCAGGAGCTGGATGCGAGAAGCCCAAAATCAATCTAAGTGGCGTGCAATGGGAGAGGCATATGTCTAGCAGTGGACTGCGATAGGCTGATGATGATGATGATGACTGTATTACGTAATTACATTTGCATGTTGATTTAGTTTCAAAGCAGAATTTCGTTTTTCTAAGCTGTTTTAAGGTCCGATCCGGTCATATTCCTTCACGGAAGACGATGACGGCATTGTGATTTCAGGGAGAAAATGGTCTTAGAATTCAAAATAAAAACGCAAAGTCATTTTTGAGTATTGTGTAGTATGTCTATATAAATTAAGAGAAAAACACAATCAAGCCAAAATGGGTACACAATCACAATCACAAAACACAATCAAGCATGTGTGGGACAAAATTCTGTATAATAAAAGTAATTAAGTTTAAGAGAATTCAAGAAACAAAACAATAGACTATTGAAATACAAGTGTAAATAACAACCAGCGAGCCTTACAGTGGTCATATGGTATGTAACATCTGAGGTCTAGCACCGTGTACGCATAAGCGCAGTCCAGGTTCAACCAAATCAAACGCGCTTCTCCGACTTCATGTTACACACTTCCGTCCCTTTCCCGAAAATTTCCCACAGATTAATGTAAAGCAAGAAGAAAGACTTCAGGGTATGATGCACAACTTCCCGCCGCTTTTACCTGAAATATACTAATGAAAAAACAGGTTTTATGAGAAAGCACGCATACCTTCCCATAAAACCGCATAGTTTTCATCTTGAATGTAACAAAATCTTACCAAGAGCAATGCGTAGGCTAATTTTAGCGCGGTACATTATAAGCCGCAATGTGTGCCACGCAGTGCATGTTATATTAATGACAATAATATTGATGCACCCAACTGCTCGCATTCATTCATCTCGACATATTATTTTATTGGGAGATCATTGCCAACACTACTTGCATTATCGCATTGGACAGTATTTTAATCTTTAAAAAAATATTCTGACTAGATTGGCGGGCCTTTTATCTAGTGGTTACTGTTAGTGTTTACGTGGTTACTGATTGCTGCGCCAGAGGTCGTAGGTTCAGTTTCCACCCATCGCGATCATTTTTCTGTGCCTGGTCATAATTTATTTTCTATATGTTAACATAGTACAGAGTCTGCCTTTATAGGATTATACGCCCGCGTTTAAGATGTGGCAACATTTTTAAGAAAAAAATAATATTTACAATTTTTTCTACATTTTTGCTTTTTGAAATTTCAGGGGACAATAAAATTTTCGTTTTCGAACTGTAAAATCACTCCAGTTATTAAAAACGAAACATTAAAAAAACCTTTAAAAGTATGTGGTATGTTTTATGTCGAAATTTATTTTCTTTACACATTCTTAACTCAGCTTTTTCTAAACATCCTCCTTTAACCTACATTAATTCGCGCTTCGTCTGGCCGAATTCGTTAATAAACTAAAAAGTACTCAATGAACTATGTGCGGTATGTTGTTACGGAACAAAAATAAACTGTTAATAGTATCTACTACATTGATTTACACCATAACACTTGAGCCAGATCTTATACCCACTTTAGTTAGCACACGCCACGAGATTGCGTGCCTTTTTGAGTGTCAACCATATTGAATTCTTTAAAAGTTTGAAGTTGTTTGGTGATCCAAATTTAAATGAATCCAAATTGCAGTTGTTTGATGTTCCAAATATAAATAATTCTAATTAAGGTAAGCTTTTACTATCCTTCGTTTGTTTTAAAGATTCGTTTAATCAATTGAACGGATTATGAGTTTATGAGTTATATTTTCCAGTGTATATTCGTAATGGAAACGTCTGAAGTGTTGGCCTATATTGCAATGAACGAATTATTGCAAATGTTGTTTATATCACGTCGGTTACGGTTCAATCTCGTACCGAACATTACATTATTGACCGATTGCATTTCAATGAGTTATGATATGTTTATGTGAAGATTTTAGCACATTTACGTTTTTTTTCGTAATTACTTAAAATAAAAAGGGCTTTTGATGTTGAGTTGTCAGGTATCTATTTTTGATAAGTTGTTGACGTGAATGGTTGTCTAGATGGAACAGGCGATGTACCATCTATCTATATTCTAAAAACCGATCGATCTCTTTGAAGTGCCTGTCGCCCAAGCTTGTTTATAGTCACTAGCTGATGTAATAAATATAATCGACGCGCACACACGACAAGGACCATCTCTGAACCGGACAGCGTTCGCCAACTGTGTACTCAATACTCTTTCGACAGTTACCGAGGACGTGTCGCCTCCAGCAAATTAAACGCAGTACCTTTTGGTTTCCATTGCAATTAAAAATACAATTTATAAAAAGTTGTGTCGATCGAGTTGTAAACGACAGCCGCGCAGTGCTTTCAGCCGAATTCGATTTTTAAATTTTCGCGCGTTTTTAGCTATTGTGGTGTTCAGAAATATAAGCCGAATAAGAAATCAGTTAGTGTGAGTGGTTTGAAAATTTGCATGTTTGATTTACCAATACCTAATAGGTGTGAATTTTATAAATAATATCATAAAAAATATTTTCCAACTTCCGTTCCCCATTAACTTACCATCTCAATAATATTGCAGTGTTCCTTACTCTTATTATCCCTATCTCACTTTTTAAATTGACATTTCAGCTACTCCCTGACAGATGGCGTTATATATAATTCCTGGAGTTATATACACGTTCAATTTTTTTAAATTAAATGTACCTACTTACTTTATTTAACCTATACAAAATATATTATCATATTGGCTTTGTGTGTTTCTTTTGAAGAGCTTGTCTATTGATTTTTATATAAAAGGCGGATGTGACGTAACACGCAACTCCTCAGATCGGTAAAACTCTCATGTTATATGAATGTGCATCAAATTCTGTATGAATATTAATATTTATACAATATTAGCAATAATATAGGTACTATTAATGGCACTTGTCTTTCCTTTACTCTTATAATACTACCTGAGATTATAAAGAAACCAACGATCTCCCTGACGGTAAATTTTAACAGTCAACAGTTTTAATATGTTCTAGTTTGTTCAAACTAGTTGGTCAGTTCTAGAATGCTCCAAACATTTTTCATATAACTATGTATTTACTAACTGACTGATGTCCAATACTATGCTGTACCTATAATTATTAATTTAAAAAAAACGTACTTAGTGTAGTAAGAATCCATTATACCACAGGTATTTTACTTTTCAAGTGAGCAACAGATTGAAACTATTTTCCAATAGATACATACAATTTAATGTTAAAGCAAAATCTGTAATTTAACAAATGCAAATCAAGCAAAATCAAAATGACAAAAAACACAGAAATAAAAAAAATGCGAATGATTTTGAAGTCGAAAATTACATCGAATAGTGATTTAAAATATTCCACGGATTAGAATCTTAATAATCTCGGTCAAATAACTAAAATATCTGTTTCTAAACTTAGTTTACTGTTTGTTAATTTCATGACAAGCTAAAGTCGTGAAAAAAGTTATAAAGACAAACGTGTCTTTATGACTCTTTTCACGAATTTATCTTCAAGTGCTTAAAGCTGTCAATTTCTCATAGACATTAGGCAAAAGTATTGCTTCGCTTGTCAAATTGACAGTGAGTAATCCAAAGAAAACAAATTTAGCATGGAGTCCTAAACAGCAATTAACTTTTTGACGTTTCTAATTCTCCATATAGTCCAAATCAATTTGTCATTTAAATCAAGGGTATACAGTTGAAATTTGTCTAAATTTTATTTGACAACGGTATTGCAATAAATTTGTGTATTTTCTTGAGTTTGGCAGTTTCATTTACATTAACGAATTAGTTTGTCGGAAGCAGGTTTCAATCATTCTGAGTTACAATTTTTCAAGTAACAAAATTGTATACTTTAACAAACCAATAAATCATGTCCGACACTGATCTTTGATCTTTTTACTTCGGCGAATCATACCTAGATGGCGCTTAGCATAGCAATCAGTAGTAAAAAGTTTTTATTTTGGCGAGAATCCTAAAAATGGCGGCAACGGATAGGAACAAGCTGTCACGATCAAAAGCACACAAGTGTTTTTGATCGTGACAGCTTAGTTGGTGGTTTTGGTTTGAAAATAAAAAGAACTCGGATCTTGTCTTTTGCATTCATCTTAAAGGAATAAAGACTTCGGGGCTGTACTCGAGGGCTTTATGTAAACGCTCTACTTTCCCCGTTTGTACTACAAATGGCTAATAAGAGCCACAAAATGTCACATACTAATTTTATAGCTAACGCTAGATAGATTTATTCAGGAATTTATTGAGAAAATAATCTAGTATATTTTCATAAGTAGTAAAACCGTAATGTAAACCAACCTGTCTGCCATAAAGCCGACCTGTCGTGTCGTCGAACCCACCTGAGCGGTGGTGATAACCTGCCAATTATTTGTTTACCAACTCTCTCATCGACTTCCTTGAAAGTTTTAATGAAATGAAATTAGGGTACAACGTAAAAATAATGATGAAAGTTTATAAGGGAAATAAATAGGGGACTTCCTCCCTCCCTCCTTAAATACACCACCCTAGGAATATATACCTGTACCGCGGGGGACTTTACAAACATTCATGTCACGGACACAAAGAACACCCAATTTTTTTGAACAACAATTCGTGGATCACATGAGTGTTGTCCTATGTGGGGGTTTGAACCCACAACACTCAGCGCAGTAGGAGGTGCTTAAACCACTCATCCGTAAAGTCAAATATATACATTATATAAGTAATTGTTGCCTATTGCCTCTTTAAACATGTAGTCTTAGATTATGAAAATTATGAACAGATTTTAAATCGGATCATTCAGTACTAAGGAAGTTAGAATATATTTTTAGAATATTACTAAAAGGACCATCAGGTATTCCCTTCCATTTTACTCACAGACGCTAGGTATGTGACACGCATTGATTCCACGACTCTTTTATACACAGTGAAGTTAATTATGAAGAAATCAGATACTTTACATTGCATTGAGACAGTATTATTTCAAGAAATACTTAATGATGTATTCAATGTCATATGAGTAACTATTATCAGGAAAAATAAATAGAACTGTTGTAAAATCAATTAATTATATTAACCACCGAGCCGCAACATATCAGATGGCATCTTAAAGTTCCTGACCTGAAGTATTACTGTTAAGAAATCAAATTACGCGTTTTAATACTTAGAAATGTTAAGTTTTGAAATGGAATGTCACAAAAATTTTGTCCGTTTCCACCATCTGTCATATAATGTCACACTTCGTCGACAAAGTAGTACTATTTAGAAAAATTACATTAGAGAGAGAGAGAGAGAGAGAGAGACCTAAGGGTAGAGAAAATGTAATTAATTTGAAATCAGTAAATCTGTATCGCTCCCTTAAACTGAAATTTTGAAATTGAGTATGGTTTTACTGACTGTAAGTAGGTAACAACCACAAGATACATTTTGGTGCCCTTATTAATGACATTCACAGGAAAATAATTGCTATTCCATTACAAATAATACAAAATATAATTAAAACTTGACAATAGGCTCTAATAGAAATATCATTACATTTAATATATAATAAAAATAACACATGTTAGTCATCAATCAAACGAATAATTATGTTACATAGTAATCGTAAATAACATTAAATTACACTAATATTGTTAAATACAAAGATACTAGGGATGTTTGTGTTGATCTTGC